TGTGCCAGGAGAGGTTTAAATTGGATATTGGGAAAAATTCTTAGTGGAATAGGTGGGCAGACTTTGGAATGGGCTGCCCAGGGCAGTGGTGGAGTCCCCATCCCTGGARGGGTTTGAAAGCCCTGTGGAGGTGGCACTTGGGGACAGGGAGCAGTGGTGGCTTTGGCAGTGCTGGRGGAACGGTWGGGTTTGATGATCTCAGAGGGCTTTTCCAACCTTTCCCAACTTTCCCAGCCTTTTCCAGCTAAAACCTGAAGGATTCTCTGATTTTCCTCTGTTTTAAGGAGTTTTGGCCTTGCTGAACGGGGTTATCTAATGGCACAAACTCAATCCCATCACTGCAAAACTCCAGCCCAATTTGTGGCCCCAACTGCTGCAAAACAGGTGCAGGACYCCAAGGGAGGGAATTCCTCAAAGCAAACAAAAAGGCAGTTCTGGCCCCGGGTGTCTCTGGGAGGGGACAATGCCCGGGCTGGGGGCAGAGGTGCCACCAGTGCTGCTTCCCATGGAGTCACTCTGGATTTACACCCMGTTCCACCTCTGGAACCTTCTGCTYGACACCAGGGGACTCAAAAGAGCCAAATCACGGGGCCGTGTCCGGTCCTGTGCCCCCGAATCCCACTGGAACGCGCTGGTGTGTGGGATCACAGACATCTCCAGCTGGGACGGACCCATCGGGATCCCCGAGTGCAGAGGGACATCACCCGTGCCCCAGCAGGACCCACGGCACSCACGGGGTACCCTCCCACCCCGTGTCCGGCAGCTCTGAAGACCCGCAGGAGCTCCGGGGAGTCTCAATTTCCCTGGAAATCGGGGTTTGCGGGACGAACCCGCCCAGGGGGCTGTGCCAGAGCGCTGCTGTCCCACCCCTCGGAGCGGGGTCCGTGTTTGCCCCGATCCTCCCGCCGGTGCCGCCGCTCCGCTCCCCCGGCGCTGTCCCCGCTGGCCGCAGTGGCTCTGGCCCAGCTGCCACCAGCGATCAGCGCCGGGCTCAGGTTTCCGCAGCCCCAGAATGACTCTGCTCATTCCTGCCCCGGCKGGAGCCGCGGCGAGCGGCCCCAGCGCTGCTCCTGCCCCTGTCCCCTGTCGCTGCCGCTGGGCTGGAGCCACCGAGCCGCTGCCGAGCCTCTGGAGCAGCGCTGGCAGCACCGGGACTCGGCTGGCAGCCACCGAGGGAGATGCTAGGGCAGGGCAGCACCTCCTGGAGTGACACTGGGAGGCTCAAAGGAGGTGTTGCCCCGGTGTGGGAATCCTTTGTGCCTTTTTGGGATTTTTTTTGCAGCTCCCGGTGCTGCTCTGACACCTTTAGGGACACCCAGAGGGAGTGGGATGGCCTYAAGGAACAGGAGCAGGACCAATCCCACGCCCAAATCCCACACATACCACAGCCCTGGAGCCACCAGCATCTCTGGTTGCTTCCCAAATTCGAAACCGGCCCCAAATCCCGGCTCTGTGAGGGGCTCAGCCCAGCCCCACTCTGCCCCAGTGATCCCAGTCCCACACCAGTGCTGGACTCAGAATGGGCCGGGTGGGTCCCCCAGCCCAGGTGACCATCCCCCCGGCCCTGGGGACAGGAGGAGCAGCCCCTGCCCCCGGCCTGGCACATCCTGGCACATTTTTAGCAGCTCCTATAAATAACCCGAAGGATCGAACTCCTTGCGCCTCCGTAGGTAAAGGCAGCTCAGCCCCAGCGACAGGTGCTGCCCTGGGCACCAAACGCTCCGAGCTCCGCGGGGCTCCGGCCCAGCTCTCCGGGACCTGGCTCCTCCCAGAGSCCTAATTCAGGATGATCCCTGCCCCATCAGCTTTCCTGCTGGGAAATCATCGCTTAAATATCTCGACGAAGCCTTGATTTTCTTATTCATTCTTGGATTTTCTTATTTATTATTCTTTGATTTTCTTATTCTCATTCTTTGATTTTTCTTATTTTTATTCTTTGACTTTTCTTATTTATTATTTTATAGTTTTTCTTATTCTTTGATTTTCTCATTTATTCTTTGATTTTCTTATTTATTATTCTTTGATTTTCTTATTTATTCTTTGGTTTTTCTTATTTTTTGATTTTCTCATTTATTCTCTGATTTTCTTATTTATTATTCTTTGGCTTTCTTATTTATTCTTTGGTTTTTCTTATTTTTTGATTTTCTTATTTATTCTTTGATTTTCTTATTAATTCTTTGATTTTCCTATTTATTATTCTTCAATTTTTCTTATTCTTTGCTTTTCTTATTTATTATTCTTCGATTTTTCTTATTCTTTGCTTTTCTATTTGTTTTAATTTTCTTTTATTTTCTTCAATTCTGGCCGTCCAGCTAAGATGAACAGCTCCTTTTTGCTGTGACACAGGTGAGCTGTGGCTTTGGGACACTCTGCCCGTGAGCATCTCACCCCCCAGGAATTTCCAGCAGGGAACTGGGAGCAGCTCCTGGCTCACGAGAGAAATTCCGCTCCCTCTGATGTTTTCGCTGCTCTGAGGCCACACAAATGAATCAGGCTCCAAAATAACAGGGATGTTTTGGGACGCTGGTTCTGGGTTCTGGGGAGGGTGGCAGGTTAATGAGGACAGGCGYAATTAGGGGTGTCCCAAGGGGCGATGCTGCCCCTGGGAGATCCCAGCCCTACAGATATCGGGAACAGTTGTGGGACCCGCTGACCACTCAAACACAGCTCGAGGAGCTGCAAGGTGAGTTCACCTGCWAACTGCCCCTGCAAGGTTCATCCGCTCGAGATTCGGGAAAAAAAACCGGAGAGACCAGCCCGGACACGAGTCCGGAGGAAAAACAGCCGCAACGGCCCCGAGCAGGTGAAAATGAGCTTCACTCAGCAGTAGYGGCAGAGCCAGCCGGGATTAGTGCGGGACAAGGGACGCGTGTGAGCGGGTGGAGAGTGAGGGCACGGGCGGGGCCGGGCTGGAGCCGGGGCTGTGTCCGCACGGCGAACCGGAGCCGGTCACAGCGCACCCAGACCAGCCCAGCAACCCCGAACCAGAGCCGGTCACAGCGCACCCAGACCAGCCCAGCGCAGCACCCCCGGACCGGAGCCGGTCACTGCCCCGAACCAGAGCCGGTCACTGCCCCGAACCAGAACCG